TAATTTCCATGGCTTCTTTTCTACATTCATCTTAAATATAGAGCTATTTCCTGTATCTAAATGTAGAAATGATGAGGTGTTGCCTTCCTTTGTTTTAAAGGAGAAATGAGCAAAGATTGAGGAAAGTGCCCTAGGACATTAGCATAATGCATATATACACAACATAGTTATTCTAAAAGCAAGGGGAAAGTAACTGCTTCAACTCATTGGCACAATGAAAAAAATAAACTATCAGATAAAAGCTCTTTAGAAACTGACAAAATAAAGTATTTTAAAAGTTTTTTACTACTGAAACTTCTTATGCATGCTTGGAAGGCTACTTTGAATCATAGGAATGAATGCAAAGGAGAATTTCAAGCAGGAGAAACTTCATTGTGAGAATAGTAACACAGCTATACAAAGTCCTAGAAAGAGATGCTTCACAATGGGCAGGTGCACATATAAAGAATCATTAGTTTCATCTTTACAAGCTTCATACACTGCTTTGAAAGTTGCCCATGGCTGTCTCAGCATGAACAAAGGGATGCTTTGCACAGCCTTAGAAGTTCCAAAATAACTGTACAAGAGGGAAGTCACTTTTACCATTTGTTCTTACTCCATTGTTGCTTCTCCACAGTCAAAGACCAAGACTTGTCATTTAATTTGTTTTACTTGAGCCTCTGTTTAAAAAAAACACCCAAACATCTGTCCCCCTGAATTATTCTTTTCATACATATCTGTGCTTTTTTAAGATACATAAAAATGAAAGACTAAAAAGGAAAAGGAAAACAAAGCAAAACAAAGAAATAAAACAGAAATATAGTGAAAGTCACTTGATACAAATTTTAAGCAGATCATTAAACCTTGATAATACAGCACTATATTGATCAGACTTTCCATTACACTGATAGGCAGCCAGTTTATAGATGGAAAGTGAATTCAGATTGTAATCATGGGGCTGTACTCTCTTCCCAGCATTGAAGCGTAATATTTTTATTAAATGATTACCAGCCATTTATAAACTTAAGTGTGCAGGTTAGATTATCAGTGGTAATAATATCTAATTTATGGCCTTGAATTTCTATTAATAAAACATCATTTTGGCAATAACACTTAGACTTATATATTGTTTCATAGTGATTTACAGCATGTCTAAGTGGTTTACAGACTCAGCATATTGCCTCCAACAATGTGAGTTCTCATTTTACCAACCTCAAAAGGCTGGAAAACAGTAAACCTTGAGTCAGTTAGGACTGAACTCTTGGCAGTCAACAGACAAGCTTGCAATACTGCATTCTAACCACTGTGCCACCCCAGCTCTTTATAAAAATATGATAGCACTGGACCCAAAAAATTAATGTATATTGTCTATTGAGATTCTCAGTCAACCAGACCCTGGTTGTCCCAAAGATGCTTTTTTCAAAAGGCAACTGGGCTTTCTTTATTTTTCCTTCTCATCCACAAACTAAGAGAACTGAAGGAGCTTCTTGGATGAGAAGCGAAATGTCTTCAAGGAAAATTAAAGAAAGTCCAGTTGCCTTTTAAAAAGCACCTTTGGGATATTAATGTATATTCTATAATGTGCATCCTATACCATTCGAAACCAATAGCTTTTCCTGCTTACATAGATGTAATGGTCTTCTTGTTTGAAGGTTCATATAAAATATGTGACTAGTTGTAATCTTTGAAAGACTCATTTAAAATTTGATCATTTCTTAGAAATGTTCCCCAAAATAATAATAATAATAATAATAATAATAATAATAATAATAATAATAATAATAATAATAATAATAATAATAATAATAATAATAATAATAATGGTTA